CCCTTTCAGCCGTGGGGGCATTATAATGTGACGGTCAATCCCACTATTAGTTGGTAAAAGAGTAGCCCAAGAGTTGGCGGTGGGTGGTGATGACTAGCTGCCTTCCCTCTAGTCTTACACTGCTAAATTAGGGACGGCTAGCGCAGATAGCCCTCGTATAGCTTTGCGCAAAAATTCAAAACAAACAAACCAAAAAAAATATCTTGACTACTATGGCATCTATTAGATGTGAACCCATTACCAAGCCTCATTCCAATCTTGTGATATATTTGTCTTTCCCCATATCTGTTAAACTCACTGCAAGTGTGCTTGCCGCATTCATTTATAGCCTTGCAGGGACCACCTGACACATCATTTATGCGCATAGCTCAATCTGAAATGGTACATAGGTCAACCAGTGTACATACATTGTTCATAAAGACTGGAAACTACCAGGAAAAGAACATGCGATCTTTCACTCACGAAGCGCGCATGTAACCATGGAGCCACATACTACTCATCGACAAAAAGTTAAACTGTAAAGAAACAATATAAAACTTTAATTGCACATTATTTTTGCACTTAGGCTTGTAAACGGAAATACGTATAAAATAATATTTCGTGTTTCTGACAATGATGATGTGTATTAAAATGTTTTTATTTCACAATTCTATGCTAGAAAGTTATATGAAACTTAATGTATTATGCATTATTTATAAAAACAAATTAACTAGTGTAAAACATTCCAGAAAAACAGAGTTATGCAGTTGAATAGACTATATTAAAATGTGTTTCTTTAAGCTCGAATGACCACAATGCAGAGATTGAATACGTTGTATTAAAACGATTTTGAAGCCTCAACACGTCGTCGCAGTCCATGTCATTACACCCATTCTTACTCTTTTGATAACTGTTCATCATCACAATAGACCAGCATTGTAGTTTACATTCAGATGGAAGGATTTTGCCGCTGACTTTTATATTTGTGTATTTTCACATGTTACAGGACGACACACATTTCTCGCAATGGCTAGTATGCAATTTACTGCAGGTCTCTTTCTGGATGGTTCTTGTACCACACGTTGATCCATATTTCTCTGTTTTCTAATGCCATTACGTACAAGGGATATCCCAATTTACTTCTAAATTAAATTGTAAATGTCTGAGTGTATGAATATTTTGCGTCATATACCCTAAAAGCAATCAATTTTAGGTCGTATAACACAACATACGAAACGACCAAACAATGTTAAAAGTAGTTCTGATACATGCAGTTCCACCGTGAACTTTATATCGACTGCTGTTGTCATGTGACTTGTTTATTTGTATATAACGTACTTAACCCTCTGTATTTATTGTACTGATTAGTATTGCATAATATTGATCTTTATTCACATAATTTTGTTGATATATTGTAAACATTAAAATCACATTCAGTAATGTATATAATATTATATAAAATAGTAATTTTCTTGAAACGAGCTTTTAAATTTTCCATAAGTCTATTTATTTTGAGCAAATAACCAAAATTATCACTATTTTGAGCTTTTCGTTCACCAATATGAAACTAAGATTCAGATTTTTGTCCCAGCTAGTTTGGTGTGCAGCACAGCGCTTTCTTTTTTGTAACCATTAAGTACTATTCGGAGAAAAGTAGGACAACTACTAAATTCAACCAACACGAATTCAGTTAGAATTTTGTTTACAAATGTTTGTATTTTCTTTCAAAAATTCAGATATCAGTTATATATTTGGTTAAGAGAAATATTTTCCTTATCAGTCTACTTAATTTGAAGATTATGGTCTATTGAACCCACCGTCAATTTTTGGGCTACTCTAATTCGATCAAACGCTGAGATTTGACTATTATTCTTGTACTGCACCCATGGTCCTAAAGCACAGAATGCATTTTTGAGGCAACGGGGCACGAACTTTGAACCCTCAGAATTCATATTCTGGGCATGCTAACCACGATGTTGGATTAAATTACTTCACACAATATAAATATTTTAATTTTTATTAATCAGAAATTTTAGATGAAACAGTAGATGTTCTAGTTACAATTCGATACCTATCCTTCGAAATTAGAGAGACCTATTCATTTCACTTCTCAACTTTTACTTGTTACTTTGTCGTAATGTTCTTTTGTCGTTTTTAAACACTTACGGTTTCACACATGGCTGTGTTTGACTGTATAAGACAAGGTTGTTTTTACATAATGGTATACTGCCGTAGTTGTGAATTATAATATGGCACCATCAGATATTACGGCAAGGATTCACCATGTACTGTGACCACGTCATAGGTCTGTACGAAATAAGTTATGTCATAATTAATCAAACAATGACCTGCTTAGTCTTTTCATAATCTTAAACAACCGCACATTTTAAATTTATTGTTTCACCTAAAAGCCGGACGTGGCTTAGTATTTAGCGTGCATAGCTAAGGATCAGAAGGTCCAAGGCTCGCCCCATGAAGCCTTTTAATAAATTCCGCACTTTTGGTTGTGGGAGATTTATAAGAGTCAACTCCTTATTTGATACAATGCAAAAAAAAGCTCTTGTGGCAAAGTAAGTTTCTCAGTTGCTGCCTTTTCTGGTCAGTATTTCATATTTAGTAACGATTATATCTGAACTTTCGAGTTCTCAAACCTGACCGTTTAATCCATGTGTGCATAAGATGCCGTACAGGATTGAAATAACAAATAATCAAATGAAGTGATTGTTAACACAGTCTTGTAAACTGTAACTGTTATAAAAGTAATGATTCGTTAATGAAGTGGGTGGGAACACAATGATGTAAACTGTTTCTAAAAGAGATTACTATTTTTTGAAACAGTGTATATCGTGGAACAAGTGAAAGAAGAATATATAGTTTACTGATTAGGCATCATTGCAGCCAAATCAAAACGTATTGTAAATACTTGAAAATTGAAAAAACAAACAAAAATATGCCTTTCTTTTTCAACATAATGTGCTTGGAGTTTCAAAGTGCGAAAGTTAAAGCATGCTCAGTGTCGCACATATATTTTATTGTAGCTTGTTCTAGTAATGTGGAAGTGTTAAGCTTGGTTTTGTAAGAAACTATCCAAGTTTGTGTTACAATTATTTATGATATGGAGGATGATGTGAAGATGCAGAAAAGAAGATGTATGAAGAAAATAAATTAGTTAAGGAGCAGAAGCATATTCACATCTTTTAGACTACAAGCGTTATCATGATGAGAGCACATTACGCTGACTTCTGTAGGAAAAGACGCCAAACTGTCATTAGCACTTTCTCAAAATTCCTGGAAATTACTAAATTAGTCAAAATCAAAATGCAGAAAGAAACTATCATCAGGAAATTTCCAACATCGATCTTCTGTATAACTCTTCCATTGAAAAAGAACAACAAAATCGATTAATTTTAGCATAACAAAAAGCAAGACTTCTTATCTTACACACACTGCTACATCGTAAGCTATAACCCCCCAATAAACCATGTTTTTGTCAATCACTATGAAGAACTGGTCATTATACTGCAACTCATTATTACACCACTTCTTCCTAAACTTAAAAAAGCTAACTTACTAGAATAAATCTCTTACCCACCGAACATTGGCAAACGATCAGTTCCCAACTGTTCTAATTACTGAACATCAAGTTACTCAAACAATATCAATCATAATATTCTCAAAACAGCCGTTACCCCACAGATAGCCAACCTGCACTCCTTCAAACACCCCTAACAAGCAATGGAACATGTTTAAAAAACATTACCCCGCTATTAAATCTTATATATTCAGTCTCCTTTAAGCCAAAAAAAAAAAAAACAACAAAAAACGCACTGATCTTTAGAACCTTAAATTTGATTATAATAAATTAATTAACAAGGAATGTAATGTTGCTATACATAACAAAATAGTATTAAGTAACTGGAATTAGATCCAACTTAACGATATTAGTTTCTCAGAACCCACCGAACTCATTTTATTATAACCATCTGATAGAAACTTTAAAAAATAATAATAGTGGAAAAAACATTTTCTAATTCTTGACACCCAAAGAGATTCAAACAGATTTTACCAACTTATCTTTCAATTTATAAACACAAATCCACTAATCCAAGACTAAAAATTTTAAAAGCTGCTCTAATCCAAACAGTAGTTGATCTTAACCGACTTGTCTATCATTAGATAATTTTACATTACATTCATAAAGTAAGATGGGTCCTCCTACTGACAATATCTCGGAAACGTATCATTGACATTTGGACAACCAGTATTGGTCTTTCACATTCTAACTCCTCCTTCAAAACTCTTGAGTTTATGCTTAATTACTTCCTTACCCACATAAACTCTTTTAATGTTATAGTGTCCTTAAAACCCCATACACGCTAACTTGTGCAGAAAGCAAAGTGACAGGCTAGTTAAACATTTACTATCTTACCAAAACTAAATAAAATATCACATACATCGAGACTTCCGAATTAGGAAATCGTGCACAAGTTAAAATTGTACCAACAACAACAAAAAAGTACAGAGACACTAAAACACTCAAGATCTAAAGAGGTTATCCATTCTACGAATTCATAGATACAAATATTAAAATGCGAATATAATAAAATTGATTTACTTTTGCTCTAACTATTCACCTTAAAGTCAAGAATAACCATATACAAAGAAAAATAAATTAAATCACTTAAATTTCTTCCTACATTACGGCTGTTTAAAATACATTTTCTCTAAATTTTTCGTTGTTTCACAACAGCTAATAGCATGAGTTTTGCTACACAGAGAATCAATTTGTTGCAAATTGTAAGAGGATTGTTTTTGTTGTTGTTGTTTTACAATACTTCGATTGATATCTTGTCATTTCTAGGATGACTCCTCAGACTGGTTTTAGTACTGGTATTTAAAAAATGTAGCGCTACAATCAAGTAAATGTTTTTCTTTTTGAAAAACTCCATCAGCGCATGTGTTTTAACTTCACTTTTATATTTAAAATCATAGCTAATTTTTCTTGATACTACTTCTTGTAGGCTCCTACTTTTGGGCCTCACCAGAACAATTGCGAGAACGTTATCCAGACATGCATGGATCTCAGAAAGGTGACGTCTACAGTTTTGCTATCATTCTCCAGGAAGTGGTAACACGTTCAGAACCTTATAGTACCTCTTCAACTGATTCAGATCCTGAAGGTAATCTTTATACAGTCTACCACAAATACATACTTTTGGTGCTATGAATTAATCAGAATAGTTTTAGAGTGCTTAAACAGTACATTTTATGAATACAAGTACCTAAAACAACCTTCACAAAGACGTATCATTTATTACGTTAATTGTATTTAATATTTTATTGCTTTTTAGCTTCACATATGAATTTGTATAATATTAAAGTGTCTTAATAGTAAATGTCCCCAATCTACGTTCAAAGGAGCTACCTTTAAAACTGACATCACTAGAGGAATAGTAGTTCTTTCGAGTCCGCTAGAGGGTGTAATAGTACTTGTGATAGTATAACAAGTTGATTACATCATATTGATTTTAATGGATAATGATATATTTTCATTATAATATTGAATAGTTATCATTTAATTTCGTCATATCAGTTAATATAGTTAAGTAGTTATAGTTGGCTTATTTATTCAGTGGATAAATATATGTCCCAGACTGCGATTACAGACGTAGACATCAGAATGATAAATTTTCCACACAAATATAATATACCATTTAACTAGATGACCTTATTTCACGTGTTCGTCTCAGTCTACTTAATAATATTTACTAAGGTTACAATCGAGTACCACGTGATACTTCTTTCGACTATGAATATATGGTTCTATTTCTCAGCATTCAATATGATGCTGGTTAACCACAGGAGAGGAAAAATGGGGGATCAATTAGTAAAAATATGTATATCTTAGTATTGTTCAACTCTAAATTTATCTATCTTTAGTTTCTGGGAATTTTTGTATATTATTCTCTATTTGTCTGCTGTTATTATTATATTCACAAGTAACGTTAAATTTTACTAATTACTACATAAGTACTCACTTCTGCTGAACGATATGGACTATATGCCCAGTCTTATTATGTAGATTGATACTTATACAAATTAACTCAAGATAGATCAAAGCCAATCTATGATAATGATGAGCAACTTAGAACTGTTATTTGAGGTTAATGTATAATATTTTTGTTGTGGTTTTTATTGTTCATTAGGTTCTTTTGGATAATTTGGTAAAAAAAATAATGAAAGTCCAGTCCACTTGACGACAACCAATGGTCAACGTTAACCCTAACTTTACAAATAACCTTCGTCTAACAGAAATTCCATTTAATTGTTAAGTTTCCCCTGCATATACAATAATTTATCAAAATACGAACTCTGTATTCACAGCATTGCACTAACTGTAACAAACAAACTGATTAAATCGTACATTGGTTTTTTTGTCTTGCTAATAATCTCGCTAACTGTCTAGACTTTTCGCTTTTATACATGGCGCCCCCCCCCCAGTGGCACAGCGGTATGTCTGCGGACTTACAATGCTAGAAACCGGGTTTCGATACCCGTGGTGGGCAGAGCACAGATAGCCCTTGTGTAGCTTTGTGCATAATTAAAAACAAACAAACAAACAATTTATACATGGCTTAAAATGTTTTCTAAACTTCGAACAAAGTTCCAGACATTGAGGCCAAGTCCATCACGTTAGCTAAATTTCTTTCCAGTTAAACAGTAAAACAAATGTTCAGTAAGCGTCTAAATAAAAACAGGGGCTATAACACTGCTATTTACGTAGTTTATCATTCCCCATGATCAATATTGCATTAAATCTACATCATTAACCAACAAAGTAACTCTTGACAGTTAACATCAATATTTGTAAATCTAAATGGTGTAATGATTAAATCATTACTGAAATATGTAAAGCCATAATTTTGTTTAATAAAATCTTCCACATCTATTGACCCTAAAATATCCATTCACTAACTTTCCTCTTGATTTTTTTCCCGTGGCTTCTGATGTAAAAATATACTTATCTCTTGCCCTTTTATCATCACTTGTCATTTTCTCATTGGGCGAATTTTCTTCAGGACATGGAATCTCCTGGTGTTGCATCCTTGATAATACAATGGAAGTTATTTTGACAGGAAACGCAGTTTATTCAGTAGGTTGTTTTACCTCTGAAGTCTTCTTTGAAGGTAATCAGTTGGTCATTCTATTGTCAATCTGGTCATGATGAATGATCTTTGGTTTGCATTGCAGGTCCTTCTGGATTCTATAAACCATATAATTGACTCTTTTGAGTAAAGCACAGGATTTTTTCTACTTGTAGCTGCTCATCAAATATTTGAACAAGTATTTTATGTTTTATAGTCAGTTTCTTGTTTTAATGTATAATGCTTAAATTACATAGTTTTGCAGCAGAATGCTAACAAATATTGTCCCGTTCATTGAGGTGGCATTCTTGTCATGAGGCACATAGAAGCTGTACTTCTTTTATCTATAAAATATTCCTATGCTATGACGGAAACAGCTGAGAGAAGTGAGTCTTCTTATTAAGTTTTACAAGGAATTTGAGGCCAACCCAACAGTTAATGTAGCCAATCGGAATCTATATTAAAAATTACAAGTACATTATGCGATGCCAAGAACTGGTACTCACTTTTATTACTTCGTGGCTTATATTTCTTTCAAACCCCCAGGCTCTTTTGGAACTTGAAGTTGTCTGCCAAACTTATATTTGACCAGATCTCCAATATAAATCATATGAAATTTTATTTTCCATAAGTCATGAGACTCACTGGTATTCTATGACCAAGTAATGTAATCTGTGGCATTTAATCATTTGAGACGTTCACAGCTTAAGACATACAGCTCCTTTAAGAAAGGTTGTAAACTCCATTTATGTACATATTATGTCTTACTTCCAAGGCTGCTACTTATAGTGTTATTTGATATGAAAGTACGAGTTGTATAACCTCAAGGTTATGCAATGTTCCATCCAGACTCTATGCATTGTCGTGTTTGTGGTCCTAGTAATGATATTCATCAGATGAAGAATTTCCAGTTAAGGGATTCTTAAACCAAACTGGAGCATTTGGTTGTCTAAGTTATTCCTAATAAGCTCTTGTTTAAATGTATCATTTCTTGTTGGAATGACAACTGCCTTCCTTTATATCACTGGAAAATCAACTTTTGGTGTTATTCTCATGTGGTGCACGGGAAGTTCTTGGGCATAGACTGTCAAACTGAAGCACGTTTAATATTAGATTCTTAATTATCCATTAATTCTATTTTCAATATGCAGTCTGCTCTATGTTAACTATCCACACATCATAATGTGTAGAGGAGCTTCTCTCTGCGAGTGTGACTCTCGTCTTTCCTCTTGCTGGAACTTTATGATCATTTCTATTTGTCTCAGTTCATATTTTTTGAGGCAGTTCTGAAGTTTTCATCACTAGATCATTTTGAACAATGTTATTTGTATAATCAGTGTCAATCAACATGTTGCAAGGCTTTTTATCAATCCATACACGTGGAATGGTTTCCTTAAACTTTTGTGAATCTGACATTCCTTGATTTTTTTTTCCTCTCGCAGTAAAAATAAACAAAAACTTAACCACATTGCACGAAAATTAGGACACACACGTATTGAATACTACATAGTTTCAACTTTAAAAAATTCATAAGAATTTTAGTTTTCTATAAATTTTCATGTCATGAAATTCCTTTAAATTTTGTTCAGACATTTTTGAAAAAATGCCTTTGTCGTAGAATATCAGATTATTTAATATATTTACTCTATTTCACTTTCATTAATATATTTGTTTTGAATAATTACTTTTGCCTATTGTTGTAATACTAGCTATAATTTGTACAGAATGCTGCATAAAGTGAGAAGTATTTATCAGTGTTCCAAACCTGACCTTTCAAAATGGCGCCAGACCAGACTAGGTATTGGTTTTTGTACTAACAATATCTTTGATCTATATCAAATTTTATCTCATAAATATACTCTGTTTTTTCAATAAATTATAATTTTTACTTTAAGTTTGAAATTTGACTTATATAGGCGTGCACTTGACAACTGAAAGGTTTTCACTTGTCTAGAAAGATACTTGAATAATGAACTCCTTTATCTCAAATAGACCATACTTTTTGTCATGGAATCACGAACTTACAAGTATATCACCATAGTTTAAATGTCCACTATAATATTCACAGTACTTATTATTTCAATGATAGTGATGTAACATCACAGCATATAACACATTATATGTTGCCCGGCATGACCAGGGCGCTCGACTCGCAATCTGCGGGTCGCGGGTTCGAATCGTCGTTACACCAAACATGCTCGCCCTTTCAGCCGTGGGGGCGTTATAATGTGACGGTCAATCCCACTATTCGTTGGTAAAAGAGTAGCCCAAGAGTTGGCGGTGGGTGGTGATGACTAGCTGCCTTCCCTCTAGTCTTACACTGATAAATTAAGAACGGCTAGCGCAGATAGCCCTCGTGTAGCTTTGCGCGAAATTAAAAAACAAACAAACATTATCTGTTTTCTCCATCATACAAAAGCCTGATGGTGTTAACTCTGCCTCCAAAGAAATCGTCAAAAACCCCAACACTACATTTTCGTTCGACACTAAAGCAACTAGAGATTATGATTTTTTTTAAAGTGAAAGATAAGGCATCATATTAATAATGTTGCCGTTACTACAGTGAATATCTCTAATTTCTGTAAGTATTGTAATATCTATATAATTCTCTATTTGTATGAGAAAAACCTAATTTTTACAGTTACAATCAATATTCTGTGTCGTTATGTCTGAAATGTATTAGTTCTACTTTTCATTCTGTTCAAATATTTCGTGACATTAGAACAAGTTGTGGTTATTTACAGCCATATGATTTATGAACAAAGGTTAGTAAGTGAGTTTAATTGAGTAGAAAGTACACAAGAATTTTATGCTGAATGAAATGCACATCTTGAACATGTCCCGACAAATATTCAGAAACAGAATGTCATGACTACACACTTAGTATCTTGGATCACTATATAAAGCGAAATATTCAATAAACAATGTTTACTGACTATTATATTCAGTGACATACAAACCAGTTAAGTTAAAATATATTTAACGTAATTGTATCTTGACTATAAGGCATATTTTATAATGATAAACACGATACA